ATCCAGCAGCTTTTCATGTGGACATTGGCCAGGTATGGACACTGCAAGACTGTTATTAACCCTCGAGCAGGGCTTGCGAGCCCTCGAGGATTATGTACAAGAGTATTTAGATCTTGCGTTTTTCAAAATATTGTACTTTTCCAAATATTAAAATTATAAATACATAAATATTTTAAATATAACCATGTGTAGGCCTACTACAATATAAAGTACATTAAAAACCCACTAAAAGTATAATCATTTTGTTATACTTTTTCACACCACTGTACCTGTTTGCCATTTTTCGACCCTGCCTGTGTTTCTGACCTCTTCTGCTTTAAATAAAAGCTTGCACATGGATCCGCACGTCTCACGTCTTGTCAGCCCCGTAACATCATGTAAGCACATGTTTGTATAATATTAATGTCCCAACTGGATGATTCACTGAAATACATTATCATGTAAAAAATCATTAACAGCAAAAGACTGTAATGCCTGTATAACCTTGGTAGGTAGAATGTAGGTTTATTGCATTATTTTTGTGTAATTTCTGTTATCATGATAGTGTTTTGTACATCTTCTTTACATTAGTATTTCCCTCAGCTTGTGGAAAAGCTCCTTGTGAAGAACTTTGATTCATCATGTGGCTTTTTCATTTCTTATGGTGGTTGTCTGTGCACTAAAAAGGTATAAATACAGATTTTAGTTCTTCAGTTGGTATATTAATATTATATCAGTTATATTGAGAAGCATTAAGGTGTTCGGCCAGCTTATAAATGTGATTCCTTTTATTTTAAAATGTCTTGTAAGGAAAATGTTTTGAAAAGAAAGGGAAATTGAACTTATGATATTTCACATTAATTTCCCCTAAGTATATTAATTTCATGCTCATTCATTCAGGGCAGACAATGTGTCCATAAGAGCACAGTCTGCTGAGAACGATAATCGGTTTCCTTAGACAACACAAATAAATGATCTTGAGAACCAATAAACATCTCTGAAACTGCTAAAAGAAAAACTTTTTTTGTTATTCGATTAACCTCCTAACTCAACTCCTTTTATTACTTCTGTCCTCTGTCTACAGTTTCTACATTCTGAAGCCCACAAATACCTCTACAGAAACACCACAGGGGAGAAAGTTCATTTAATGGCTTGAGACTATTGTCCTGGAACAAATTGAACCAGGTTGTGAGTAAAGAATGTGGGCTGACTTCCAAGTGAGGGCAAATGCAAACACGTTTGTGCTTTTCAGGCTGAGATTCAGAAGCAGTATTTGAATTCATGTTGAGCTGGACATTTGATCAAGGTGCTGTAATCATAAGTGTAGCTTGACATTTGAGTTGGGGGTCTGGGGCAGGGGGCAAACGATCTGGTGGTAAAAGAGTCGTGATACTTCACAAGGCAGAGCACAAAAAGAGTGATGGATAAAGTGGAATAATTTACTTACAATCCACTAAGAACAGTATGTGCTATGGTTTACAAGCAATGAAGAATATCTTTCAGTTAACACAAATACAACTAACTAATTCAATGTAGGCTACAAAACTGTTTGCTGAAATGTCCACAACATTAACAACAACACCAAAATAAGAAAGAGCCCATCCTGTGAATTATACTCCAGTTGCTTAAAATTCCTGATGCAATTGTAAGAGCTGAGATTTTTATTATTGTTTTAAATGGAAAAGGCAGTACATAGGCCCATGCTGTGTTATTGTGTAATGTAGTACATGTCTAAATGTAGCCTACCTCCTGAAATCAAAATAAACTTTAAGTTATTGTACTTAAGAGTCCACTCATTCTGATGACTGAATTATAAAGCACTCCAACACAAAATACCTGCAGGGTTTATATAGCATGAAACAGTGCAGTGCTTTTATTCATGAAGGTCAGTGTGTGGGTCATTGTATTATAAGGCCTGATTCATTCATTCAGTTCATGCGCTTCACTTATCTTTTTGATTCTTGATGCATTAATGATGGTTCAGATTGATTTTCTTCTCTGATTTCCTTTCTTTGTGTTTTTGTTTTTCATTAGCCTATTTAGCTATTATATGTCGACAAGTCTGAGATTGATCTGTCATTCAAACTGGCAATAAACATAAAATGATGGATTAAAAAACGTAAAGTTGTAATAAAATAAAATGGGGAAGTAAAGTTTAAATAAATAGACGATGAAGAAATATTTACGAATATTTCTAGGTCGCTAATCAATTGTGTTGTTTATAACAGTGATAATGTGAACTCTTTTGCAGCTACAAAACGTCTACTAAATGCTAATAAATGCAAAGCAAATAATAAAAAAAAAAAACTAAAGGAAAGAAAATAAAATAAACGAATAAAGCAGAAAATATCCACCCCCCAAAAAAATATTTTTTTGGTAACATTTTTAACATTTCCATACGCGTCCGTCGGACTCGGTTCTAATTTCATCGGGCCTGTCTCGGGTCGGGTCTTTCTTAAAAAAAAAAAAAAATTATTTATGCACGTCGGGTTCGGGTTACATATTTTTTAGATTATATATATATATAGGCCTATAGTTCTTTTTTTTGTGTGTGTGTTTGGCTCATAGACCGTATAAGTGTTATGTTAGAATCATTATTATACTCTTATACCTTTTGCTCTTTAATATTTTGAATTGTTTTTAGCTTTATTTTTTGTTTTTCATTTAAATGTTAAGTTTTGAAAATTTGTTGTATGCATTTGTCATTTTTATTTAATCTCTTTATTTTTATGTATGTGTATAGGTAGTATTTATAAAGTTTTAGCTTTGGATCTGTTTTTAGTTGTTTTAATACTACAATTGATTGCTTCTGTTGTCCTCATTTGTAAGTCGCTTTGGATAAAAGCGTCTGATAAATGACTAAATAAATAAATAAATAAATATCAAAAGAACAATACAATAGACGCTTCCGCGTCCCTGTTACTACGGAAACATTCTACCCAATCACAAAAGCGAAGAGAGACGTGCCAAATTTTCAACAAATCAAAACTGCTTTTACTGCAGCGTCTAGCAGTTTGAAACAGTGCTTTTTAACAGTAGAGTGGGTACTTGCAGATTGAAGGATTACGTTGCGTTATAGAGGAACAAATACCTTTAAAACACTCACTGAGAAGGTAACGATCGTACTGTTTTATCTCTCTGCCGCACCACACATGATGCTTAG